CCTCCATGGCTCCTGTCCTCCATGGCTCCTGTGCTCCATGGATCCTGTGCTCCATGGATCCTGTGCTCCATGGATCCTGCGCTCCTATGCTCCATGGATCCTGTGCTCCTGTGCTCCATGGCTCCTGTGCTCCATGGACCCTCACTGGGGGTGTCGTGCCCACCCGTCTCTCTGACCTATGCAGTTCTTTGCTCTGCATTAGTAACTGCCTCCATTTGGAACATGAACAAACCCCTGGCAGCACCAGACTATCACTATTATTCTTCCTTCCTGTGCTGCACATGAGAATGTGCTCACAAAACTCTTCTGGGCTCTGTTTTCCTTTACACTGTTTGCAGAGCACTGTGCACACTCCAGTGACAGGACCATTGCTCAGAGCAGTAAACTGCTGCTGTTTGGGTTAAACAGGTAAGTGCCTGAGAGCCAAAAACTTCCACAGTGTGACTCTCCAGATCTTGGATGGGGTTTGGAGCAACCTGGTCTATTGGAAGGTGTCCCTGCCCATGGCAGGGGCTTGGAAGTAAATGATCTTTAAGGTCCCTTCCAACCCAAACCATCCTGGGATTCAATGATTCACGTGGGATTTTCAGACCAGTTGTAGACCATCACCCGCCCTTTAAGTGCCAAATCCTTTGCCAGTCTGGTTCTTTGCTTTTCATGGGAGCAGACACTCTTAAAAATGATTTTAGACACGGACTTGCTGAGAGGAACAGAGGTTGTATAACCTGGGCAGTGAGTAATTAAACTTGTGTCCACACACACATGGACAGTGACCCTGAAGAGACACAACACAACACATGGGCTCTGCAGGGGCTGCTCCTGCTCATGGACCAGCCCAAGGGACTTGGCAGGAGCAGTTTAACCAGAAGATACTAATGCCAAGTAAAGCTATATTTTAGAGATGACTGAACATCTGCCTGTCTCCAACTCACTGCAGATCGAATATTTAACTCAATCTTCTAAGCTTCACCTCACAAAACATTCTGCAAGCGTCTGGATATATTCATGATGGGCACAAAAACACAGACACACACACAAACAGATTACATGCATCTCTGTCTGACAAAAAGGAATAAAAGTGCTTTAGTTACCTCAAAGGACAGTTCATCTGCTGCTTGAGCAATATATCTCTTAATAACATGGGCAGCAGCAATAGCAGGAACGTTAATGGACGATTCCTCGTGGACTAGCAGGTGGTTCCCCTTGTTATCAATCTGCAAGAGAGAAAGACTGTGAGGCAGCTGAGGACAAGGGAGGAGGGGTTTTATTGGTGCTCAGACACAGCAGAGGCTTCAAGCTGATGCAGAGAGACAGCCCAGCTCGGGGCCCCAGCAGAGAGCTGGGAGTGAGGGCACAGCACAGCCAGCACAGCTCTCAGGGGCTGCACAAGGTCGTGTGGCTCCAGCCACTGAGCAGAAAAACACTGCATTGTGCAGCTCTGTGCACAAGCAGGAACACCCAGCAAGGGTTTGCACCTCCCTTTAGCACCAAATCAGGTTGTTTTTCCTCAAGTACTTCAAATAGTGCTACAAAAATTTTCTACAAAGTGGAATTAATGCTCAAGAAGAGGCTCTGAGGGAGGAAATGCTGTCATACCAAAAACTAGTGTTGCTTTCAATTTTCTCCCACCCTTTTATTTCTCTTTTTAAAGAAAACATGCCCCTCCCCCTCTTTGCTGCAGGAATGCAAATTCCCAGATTTTTGTGCTTGTGTCAAATTCTGTAGGATTCTCAGTCAGTTCTGCAATAATTCTGTGTTCTGTACTCCACAGGCAATAGCTTTGCTGTGATCCCCAGGTCCACTGGGTTGCTGTAGATCCCTCAGTTTCACTTCTCTCTATAATTTCCTCCCTTTGCTCAGCAGCTTTCCAAGACTGTCTCCTCCCTAAGGATCTCAGGATGAGGAGGAGGATATCAATGGGGGAAAACTGCAGGAAAACACACTTAATCCTTATCCCAACCATTTAAAAATTAATGGCAACAGTCTAATTATAGCTGCTGCTATTCCTGGTGTGCAGGAATGGGAAGCCACACGTCTGTCCCCAGGCTGAGCAGGGACAGCTGGACCCTGCCCTGATCCCAGTGTTCCTCCCTTGCCATGAGGGCTATTGTTCCCGTGGTATTAGCCCAGAAAGCTGCAGCTGCAGCTCCCCCCATGCAAACAGTGTCCCTGCGGGCACAAGGGGGGCTCTGTCAGCGCTGGCACCCACAGGGGCACAGAGCACCCACTGGGGCTGCAGCTCCCACAAGGAGAAATCATTAAAAAAGAAAGAGGGTAGGCAAACAGCACAACAGAGACAGCTCAAATGGCTCCAGAAATGTGCCACACTTGCAGTAGTGCCTTGCCAAAAAGGAGGTAAGAATGTGAGGCACTGGGAGATTGAGCCCTGCACTGAGAGTTCCCAGCAGCCCATTGCCCCAGTCTCTGCCTCACTGGAGCTGCCACCTCAGTAGTTGTGATTAGCAGCACAACAATATGGTTTGGGGTGACAAAATCCAAGCAGGAGGGGGAAAAAAACTCCTATATTCTTAATATTGGACCCGAATCCGTGTGTTCTCCGCCTTCTGTGGCCACCTACACCTTACACACCTGGTAACAGGGGAATAAAGCTTTTAGGATGGAATTTCAGTGGCACCAATAGGTCTGGGAGGATTACTGGTCTGGAAGAGAGCAGGTTTGTGGTCAGGAAAGGAAGAACAACCTGAGCTTTGTACTGTACCTCCATCCATGTGAGGGCAGGCCCACAGTTGATCTTGTTGCCTGCGATGGCTGAGAGCCGGGCCAAGTAAGCCATGAGCATCTGGGTGACCAGCTGGGACAGGGACAAACACACACACAGTGCTTCTGTTAGTACAGCACAGTTTGGACAGACTTCTTCACACTTGGAGAGACTATAAATTAGCCACTACCATAGGCAAGAGTCACAGAAATAAATCCCCTTGTGCAAGGAAATGTATTTCTGCCATGTGAAGCCACACGCGGGGCTGTAACGATTACACCAAAAAGCTGGAAAGCAGCAGCTCACTGTGAAGGTAATAATGTTATTTTCATAAGATATTTAGATTTTCATGACTTCCCTTGTCAAGATACCTCAAATCTAAAGCCTTTTTCTTCTCAGGGATCTCACACCCATGTTACGGCCACCAAACACACCTGAGAACCACTTGGTGAAACAAAACCCTGGGTGCCCCTTCCACTCTCCTGCAAACCCTCAAGAATGTGGCAACTCAGACTGACCCCCTGGGCAAAGAGTAATATTTCAAACAGTAGAGGAGGGGTTTAAAAATACACTTAGCAATGTCCCCTCTGTAACAGTAAACTTGTTTTTTTTAAAGAGAAACTCGTGAGGTCTCTCCAAAGGCTCACAGTGACAGTGTTATAAAGCACTATTGTAGCCCAGAGTCTGTAGGACTGTTTAAAACATTGTTCTCCTCAAACATCTGCTCAAATGTGGCCAGTTCAAAATGAAAAATACATGATGAGACACCCCACAGCTGCAGAGTTACATTTCACAGAGCAATAGAGCTGTTCAACATCTTTACAGCTCCTGTGCTTACACACAGAATGCAGATTTTTGGGCTCATGCTCTAAACCATATTAAATCAGTTGTACAAATAAAGATGTAAGAGACAGGAATGCCTAAAACACAATTAAAAATAAACCCAGGAATTCATTATCCTGGATGTGGCTGCTTCTGCTGAGTTTAAGAGACTAGAAACTTTAAATTTCTTTCAGACAGAGGCTGTGTGAAGCCAAAGCAATAAGAAATGTGTCTCTCTGCTGAGCAATGGGGCTGCAGGATCAGCTCCCTGTATCCAATGGCAAACACCCCAAGGAATTCTAGGGTTTCAGCCCCTGTGCGTGGCTACAAAGCAATCCCTGCTCAGCACTGAAGGAACACAGATCCTGATTTCTAGTTCCTGGATAGATGATTCTTTGAGTGCTTGGATTGAATTTCCCTCACTTCCCTTTCCCTGCACTGCCTCCCCCTCCATGTGCTCTGAAGTGATGCAGCCAAGATGCACCTGCTACTTTCCAGAAGATTATTTTGGACATGAACACACCCTTCCATGACCAACAGGTGAGAAGCTGAAGGAATTCCAGCTCATCATATTCCAGGGGAAGACAGTAAGTCAAGAAATGAAAACTCCCTCTTATCCATGCAGGAAAACCAGCTTTTAAAGTCCATTTAAATAATGAACTAATGCAAACGCTCTTAGAAAGCAGTTTTAGGAATATTCAGTTGAAAATGCAAGTCTAGTACTCCAAGTGGGATTGCTCCTGCAGTGCTGCAGCCTGGGACAGCAGGATTTCCTAGGAATGCTGACAAAGTTTCCAAAGACACAACTGGGATCTAAGGCACGAACAGGTGCTTTCTTGACACTCTGAACAACCATTCAGACTTAGCAGCTTAACCAATTCATATGAACTTGCAGGATATTTCCCTTCAGGTCACTGAAATCAGGGGTAAAAACCACTGACCTTATTCCCAGGAGTCAGTTTTCAAATCTAACCCAGGCTGCATTAAAAGGACTCTGCACTCATAGTTGGCTACTACATGGAATCATGGAATTGCCAAGGCTGGAAAAGACCTCTAAGATCTTCAAGTCCAACCATCAGCCAGCACCACCAGCACAGTCCAGGGTGAGGAGGTTCTTTTTTACTTTGCCTTTAACCTCTGCCAAATAAACCGAGATAAATCACAGGATCCCTATAATCTTAACCCTAAAATCTCATATATTTCCCAAATATCCTGGTGCAGCTTGATGCCATTAGTTGAAAATATCTTCAACCTGTGGCTGGAGGTGACTGTGGATGACTGTAGGTGACCACAGGGGACTGTAGGTGGCTGTGGGTGACTGTAGGTGACTGTGGGTGACTATAGGGGACTGTAGGTCACTGGAGGTGACTGTGGGTGTCTGTGGGTGACTATGGGTGACTGGAGGTGCTGTGGGTGACTGTAGGTGACCATAGGAGACTGTAGCTGTCTGTAGGTGACTGTAAGTGACTATAGGGGACTGTAGGTGACTGTAGGTGACTGTGGGTGACTGTGGGTGAATGGAGGTGGCTGGAGGTGACTGGAGGTGACTGTGGGTGACTATAGGGGACTGGAGGTGACTGCAGGTGACTGTGGGTGACTATAGGGGACTGCAGGTGGCTGGAGGTGACTGTAGGTAACTGTGGGTGACTGTAGGTGACTATGGGTGACTGTGGGTGACTGGAGGTGACTGCGGATGACTGTAGGTGACTGTGGGTGACCATAGCGGACTGTAGGTGACTGTGGGTGACCATAGCGGACTGTAGGTGGCTGGAGGTGACCATAGGGGACTGTGGGTGACTGGAGGTGACTGTGAGTGACTGTGGGTGACTGGAGGTGCCCTGCCCGTGCTGCAGATGTTTCCAGAGGTGTGATTTACCTCAGGGCTGTCCCTCAGGGCATCGGAGCGGGGCAGCTCTGCCAGCTGGGAGAAGCGCCGGTCGTAGATGCACAGGTGGAGGTGTTTGTCCAGCACCCTGAAATCCTCATAACTCCTCTTCACAATCCAGCTCCTCCCCTGCACAGACACAAGAGAGTCACACTTTTACAAACCCATCACCAGTTTGGGTTAGAAAAGGAAAACCTGTGCAGAAGCAGCACTTTCCTCTCAAAACATCTGAAAGCCGTGGAGGTGCCTGAGTAGTATTTTCATGTTTGAATTTGCAGGCAGCCATCCATGCTCAAAACACAGGAGAGTTCCTGTTTGAACTGTTCACCCATGGCCTGGAGGTGGCCAGGCATCGATTTTCTGGTCTGGTTTTGTTTAATGGAAGTGTTTCAGGGGTAGGAGAGTCAGGGAGGAGAGGGGAGGGAAAGAGAGAGGGAGAGAGAGAGGGAGGAAAAGGAGGAGGAGGAGGAAGAGGATAGGAAGGAAAAGGAGAAGAAGGAGAAGGAGAAGGAGAAGGAGAAGGAGAAGGAGAAGGAGAAG